AGGCCTTCCCATCAGATAATTCCTGACGCCTTTTTTTCCCCTTCTCCTCTTTCATTGTTTCTTTTACCTTGTGTATGGCTTTTACTATTTAAATTGTTTATATATTTTTACTGTATTTTTTAATGACTGTTAGCCGCCTAGAGTGGTCCGGACCTGACCAGATAGGCGGGATATAAATGAAATAAATAAATAAATAAATAAATAAATAAATATATCTAGATATACCAAATATATCTAGTTCTCGATGCCAGAATTCTCTCTCTCTCTCTCTCTCTGTATGTATGTAAATTGATACATAAAAATTATAGGTTGAGAAGCATAGATTTCAGTATATGTGCAGCATCTAAAGCTGAATTATGAAGAAATATAAATAAATAAATAAATAAATATATCTAGATATACCAAATATATCTAGTTCTCGATGCCAGAATTCTCTCTCTCTCTCTCTCTCTGTATGTATGTAAATTGATACATAAAAATTATAGGTTGAGAAGCATAGATTTCAGTATATGTGCAGCATCTAAAGCTGAATTATGAAGAAATACACAAGACTCCCCTAAGGTTTATGCATTTCAAGACAGTTTTGATTTTTTCTTTCAGCGTAGGATCTCTATGTCAGACTGCTTTTTCCAGCCCCCTCTAATTTCAAGAATGTTTCAAAGTACTGTTTGAGGTAAATGACTAAAATCATCTTGATTTATTGGAACCAGTTACATAGCTCTCTGAATTGCAGCCTACACTTGTGTCTTTGGAGTTTTGAAGATGTTAAGAACATGAAATCAAGCTGATGTCAATCTAGATACTAGAAGATATGATTGGTCCAACAAATAAATACCTCATCAATGTAATTGGCAGTATAATCCTTAAAAGTTTTGTTACCATTGTTAATAGCAGCAGCAGTAAAATCAACAGCAACAGCAGAAGCACAAACCTAGACTTTAATGACTAAGACAAACAGCAAAGATAAAAGATTTCACAATGAGCAGAATCCTCTCTGTTTTTTTTTAAATACACATTGTGTTAAATGATTGGGTTGAATTTTTTTAGAAGAAAAATATGTCCCAAATCATTGCATTGACTGTATTTTCTGCTAGTTATTCTCTAGCATGGTTATGTGCTTTTTATTCAGCTTTTAAAAACATTATGAATTATGAATTCAGATTTGTGTCTGAGAACAGTGTTTGGTAGAAAGGCAAACCTTTCAAAGTATGCCACAGCTGTCAATTAGAGAAGTCAAACTTGCCAGAAGTTCTAGGTTTAACATTACAGAACAGTCTGACATTATTTCATATTATTTTATGGTATTATGTCCCAAGGCTTTCCCCTAAAATAGCCTGTAAAATCCATTAAAATATCTGCACTGTACTGTGTTTCATAAAAGACTTATACTGCCCCAAGTTTCATTATAAGAAGAAAAATATAATATTAGTTATTTAACCCCAATTTTCCAAGAAAGAACAGTCATGGAAAGCTACTATTTTTACTTCATGTAGAAATGTACATTACTATATATATGTAATTCAGAAAGAGAAGAGACTGTGTGCCTTTGATACTGCCTCATTGATGTGTCCCTGATGTATGAATGCTGCAGATATTGCTTTTCCTCTGAAACAGAGGGGACCAACACCATCTACAGCTGGAGGAACAGCTCCTTCCAAAAGACATAGGAAACTGCCTTATACCAGATTGCATTGCATTTCTATCTAATTGGTAGCAGGACCTTTTGCAGAGTAGCATGGGGGAAACTGCCCCAGGCCTCTGTAAGCAGGTGGCTCACCTACAGAGGGTGCTACATCAGCTGATAGAAGGTGCTGTGAGAAGGAAGATGTGGGGAGTGGGCTCAAATAAACATTGTGCCCTAGCCTCTCAATGTCTTAAATAGGTCCTGCCAAAAGATTATCCTGACCATCAGAGATTTTCAAGACAAACCTTCCCATCACATGATATCTGATCCTTTGGAAATACAAGGAACTGATGCTGGGAGCTACTATATGCAAAGCAAATGATCACAGAACTATGATCTCCTCTCTTTGTGGTGCAGCTTGGTGGTTTTAGACCAGTGGTTCTTAACCTTTGTTACTCGGATTTTTTTGAACTGCAACTCCCAGAAACCCCAGCCAGCACAGTTGGTGGTGAAGGCTTCTGGAAGTTGCAGTCCAAAACTCCTGAGTAACCCAAGGTTAAGAACCAGTGTTTTAGACTATAGACCAATGGTTTCTAACCTTGAGTCCCAAGATGTTTTTGGACTGCAACTCCCAGAAATCCTGGCCAAACACATTAATGGTGAAGGCTTCTGGGAGTTTTAGTTGAAGACCAAGTTTGGGAACCACTACCCTAGACTAACTGGTGATTCATGGGTCTTTATTTAAGCAATCATATATGTTACTACAACTAACTGTTTTATTTCTTCCATACATATCTCTGCTCCCCTCCTTAGAACTGAAAAATGCATAAACAGTTTAGTGCTTCTGGCCTTGGTTCTTCCACTCACCTTAGCTTATGAAATGCAATCTACTCCCCATGGAAATTAATACAGAATTGGATCACAGTAACAACTATCTATGCTTCTATACTGTAAAGTTTAGTTGTTAGCATCCAGTAAGAGCTCTGAGACTACTAGTGCAAGAAGACTGCTAATGTTCTGGCAGTATTTGTACATTATTAATAATCTGATATGAACTTCTTGAACTTCATTCCAGACATATGGTTTGACAACAGAACAACACTTCTTTCTTTAAATTATCATACTGTCACCTAGCAAGATTCTGCTGAATCATAGATCCTTCTATTGGGCAACACAGTTCAGAACTATCCAGCACTGGTTTATTTGAAGCATAGAGAGGTGATTTGTGGACCTCCAGATGTTGTCTGATTGTAATTCTCATCAGCTCTGTCCATCTTGAACAGTTGTGAAGGATGGCAGGAAGTGCAGTTAATCAGCATCTGGAGGGTCCTATGTTGCCAACCTCTAATTTAAGGGCAGCGCTTTAATACACCTTGTGCATTCAAGGTGAATTCAGACATGATGTTTTTTACAATGATGTGATAGGAAACTGAAATGAAATGGCCATAGATCATGCACTAGCTTTTTTATCTCCTCACTTCACCACTCTTGCAATACTGTTCAGAGGTTATTCTCAGCTTCAGGTATGAACTGCAAATGTCATGTCCTGCAGTAATAAAATATAAAGTGAACCAACAGTACTGACCATATGTAAGAATTACAAGGATTTTGTAAAATATCCAAAAATATTGCTGGATGCAGGCAAGGTATTAGAGTTAACCTTGGGAAGACTTCAAGTGCAGGATGCTGGCAGCAATCAGTCTTATAATGGCCAAGGTTTTTTTTTTTTTACTTCAGATGTTTTGGGGGAGAAGTTTGAAAGGTTATAAGGCTTACCTGAGTTGGACAGTCCTAGCAGGTGTTATATTTACATGTCTAATTCTATCACCCTTTGATGTCTGGTCTGGTTGTCAGTTTGCTCACTAGTGAGATGCTTTGTTATAATTTTGCTACTTAGTGACCTCTAAACATCCAAGGTCTCATAGAGATGTGCTTAAAAAGCAGGTGTATAGTGTTACTGTATAGAATTGCTAGGTTTCTTGGCTGTTGTTGAGGAATATAGACCAGACTCTGGGGAGTGCCGAGCAGCTGATTTCTAGGGACCACCCACTGCCATCTTTCAGAGGATTCTGGTGGGTTGAAGGGGTTGGGTTTTTCTCTCTGTTTTAATCCTTTACTGTTTTCCCCTCCTTTTTGTGGTTGTTCTCCTTAATAATTTTCTGGGCCTTCCCCACTGATTCACTGATACTGAATTCAGAAAAGGCCATTATTAGCCTTGACAAAATTCCAATCTCTGTGTGAATCATTCTGAAGATAGAAATGTGAGCTCTCACTTCTCTTGTCTTCACTTATGACAATTAGAAACTGCAGATTTCTCCTTTTTGCCAGTTAGGAATTATGTGCTGCTTTCGCTAGATACTTCACATTAGTGTGACCAATGCTTTGTGCAAAATTGTTCAGAATTCATTGTATGAACTGCACACATCATTCAACTGCTCTGAGGACTGTTTTATGAATCTGAAGCACAGGATGGATTGTTTGTGTCTTTCTTAATAATCAGACTGTCCTCTATGGTTGTTGCATGTATATGTGCTTTGCTTTTCAAATGCAAAAGATATCTCAGTGGAAGATGTGGAACTGCACTCAGTTTTAAAATCTCTGAGTGAAATGTCTCTTTGTGCCTAGACCTCCTAAAATAATGTGAATTAAAAATTTTGTGGGTAGCAGTTCAAATGGCATGTTTCTATAAACATAGGTCAGTGTCTAGGTAAGGATGAAATTGTGACTTTTAAAAATATAATACACCTTAAACTAAGCTTAGTATAACTTGACAATGCAGTTTACAGCTTCAGAATATACCCTTGTTTTTTTCCACAGTCTTCTAAACATTCAGATGCAAAAGCAATGTTTAAACGGATATTAAATAACCATTGTACTGAATAATTATTACATTCACAGTGTATCTGGAACTAATTAAGCAGCGATGAATGAACTAATACTCACCGTTCTTTTTATAAAACATGATTTCTCCTTTGAATTCAATTTTTTCTTCCAGTGACTTTTCTATCTGAAGAATCATCTGCTCATTTGTTTCAGCACCATATAAAAATTTACAGCTGCAGCTCTTCTGCATGACTTCCGTTCGTGCAAATCCAGAAAGCTCACAGAAGCCATCAGAACAGTAAACTATGGGGAATCCCTTAGCCACCTGAGCATTTGCAAGGATGAAGTTACTATCTGTAGAAAAAACACAGAAGTAAAAACATCTGTAAATGGGATTGCAATGTGCATAGTATGGTGTAGTATTCAACTATACATTACCACCTGACATTGGTTCAGGATAGATATGGTAGTCATTCCAAGTTTCTTAAAGAAATATAGAGCTTGGTGTAAGACCCTGGACTGGATGTCTTGATAAACTTTGTGATAGATTCATGGACATCACTTTGGAGAATGGCAGGGTCCTCTTTGCTTTATAACATAAGAAACACACTAACACAAGAACTTAAGTGGAACAAAATGCTTTAGGAATTTCAATCATAAATTTGAAGGGGTTCTTTCTGGCTTCATAGGACACATTGATCCATGTGAGGCTGCCATACTTTAGTCACATCATGCAAAGGTCAGATTCACTGGAAAAGATGATAATACTGTGAAAAGTTGAAGCCAGCAGGAGGAAGACCAAATACAAGATCCTAAAGGAAGCCTTGAGTCTGGAAGAGCTGAGCAGGGCAGTTGAGGACAGGACATTTTGGAGATTACTTATTCATAGAGTTGTTATAAGTTGGAGGCAACTTGATGGCACATAACAATAGGAACAAAAATCCTGAAGTAATGAACCCTTCAATCAAGCTCCATCAGTGGAAAGTTTCCACATGGAAAGTCTCCTCCCCCCATCCTGGGTTTTGAGGCTCCCTTTAGCACTGGCGAAGCTTTTGAGAACTTTGAGATTGATGGGGTGGGGTGGGGTTAATAGTTTTTTTTTAATTGCAGCTGGTGGTCCTGATCCCATTGATAGTGATCTGACAGTGTTTCACTATTAAAGGTTCTGCCCCCCCATCCCAAGGTTCCCAAAGGTTTCCCAAGCACAAAAAGGGAGCCTTGGAAACTGGAAAGGAAAGATAGAAAACTTTCCATGAGTTTAAATTAAGTTTGTATGGCACCTAATATGGACTATGCAAGAGGATTTTGCCCACTATGTGATCTTCCTTCCGTATGTATTTTGCATTCAGTATGCTTTGTTTTGTTAATGATTAGAAGATATGCATAGGCTTAATACACAGGTCTGTATTACTGAGACATCTATCTCTGGGGAAATCCAAGTGTGAGAGATAAAACATTTAGTGGGGAATATATTTTTCATTTAACCCCATTCTACCTCATGGATCATCATTTGACAGTTATGTCAACCAATTACACCTCCATTCAATTCTAGTAAACTCTTGCTTTGTTTTAAAAAAACGAAGTGATAAATGTTTTTTATCTCTCCTAAAATGGGCGATACAATAGGGTAATTTTGAGTTGGTCTTTATTCCTATTTAGTCCCGTTAAATCCCACAAGTTCTGTATGCTGCAGCTTTGAAGTGCAAAACTTTTAATATAATAATAATTAGTTACAACAATCATTGCAAATCGCCAGAACCATACAAATGGTTGCTTACGTATATTTGCCATTAAATTTGTTGTTTCCATAGTCTTCTGCTATGCTATTTCTAAAAAGTTTTTAAAATAGGTAACATTTGGTTTTTATAAAATCTGAGGGCAGGAAAAGTTGCACCATGAGACATTACTTCAGAAAAGTAATATTCCTCCTCCACCATTTAGCATGGCCACGCCATCCAACTATAAAAGCAACTAAAAAGACAGCAAAAGTCACCATCATTAATTTGCAACCATAATGAGAGCACAACTCCTCCTATTCATCCTTCTCTTTCACCCTCTCTTCGAAGCATGCTTGAGGGAAGAACATCCTGAGGCATTTGATAAACACCTGAAGAAACCTCTTAGGACTGGGATGGGAAATTTTTTCAGACTTTAGAACAAATCCAGATTTGTCAAGGCTGCAAGTGTGGGTCAGCTGCATGTAGCAACTGCAAACCAAAACTCACTTCCATGCAACAGCTTTCTTGACTGTAAAACACAGCCCAGTTTCATACCATAGCTTCATAACCTTAAAATACCTTATCCCAGCTCAGTTATCAGAGACAATACCAGAAGTTTACTGACTGGAGGGCCTGTGGTTTCCTCATTCCAAGGCTGTGTGCCTAGAGGGGACAGGGACAAATCTTGCCTGATTCACCTGATAAACTCACAAGGGCTAGCAGTAGGTGGCAGGTGCCCCTCAGCACATTAAAATGAAGGCTGCCAATGTGGTCATATATATCTGAAAGACAAGCTAGTAGCCTTGAGTCAATGAAATGCACCTCGAAAAGACTGTCACAGATCACCCATGCTGTTTACTCTGACAACAGGATCACGGGACCCAACAATGTCACAAACCACATCAAGGACACATTTACATGTTCCTCTAGCCGCCTAGAGTGGTCCTGACCAGACCAGATAGGCAGGATATAAATAAATAAAATAAATAAATAAATAAAAATAAAAATAAAAATAAAAATAAAAAT